ACCTGGCGATCTGCTTCCATAAAGATTACAGCCAAGAAAACCCTACGGGGCAGTTCTACTTAGTCAAAATTGACTCAACAGCACCTAACCTAACAAATGACAGAAAAGGTACTGAGTGATCACATAACAACATAGCAGGCTGGTGAATCAGGCCCAGAAAATGAGATGGAATCAAAGGAGACCAGCAGCAGCCAGTAACACAGTCAAATCATACCACAGGGATTCCCATCTGGTGAGGACGCTATTATTCCTAGAAAGCAGACATTTCTTCAACCTCTGATGGAACAAATTTGCCATTACTCTTACTTCTTTGCATTACTGACTCCATATTCAAAATACTGGGCAGCTGATATGCTGGTAAAATGAAGACTTACTACACGGAAGTCAGCGTTACCCTTGCCTGCCATTATAAGACAATGATGACCATTATTTCAACACAAAGGATATAAGATGTTTATGCAAGACGCTAACCACATAACGGACAAAGCCAGAACAATCAAGAAGGCTTGCAAATGTATTTAACTGCCTACAGTATTAATAGTACATATCGATCAGTATTCAATGGGCAGCAGTCCTCTTTTTACATAAAATATAATCCCTTAATGGTGTAAGTAATTCATCAGGCTTTAGGATGTGATTATATAAAATGAAAAGAATAAGTTACCATATTGATGAATAGAAACATGTAGCTGAAAGCAATTCGAAGCTAGCCAAGTTCAATAAAAACTCGTTATCTCCATTTTAGGATGCATGTCATTAGCTCAGAGAAGATTAATTTCTCCATTCATATTTCAATTTTCTTTCTGGCAAAAAAATAAAACTGACTTTTTGAAACACAGTCTTGCTGCTTAATCAAATGTTGAGATTCTCATGTCAACATGAATAGAATAATTAATAAATTGTTGTAGAGATTCAAAAACTAAAAAGTTGTGGTCCTGGATAAGTTTCATCTATGTTTATATGCAAATACTCTTCTAAAACAGGTCTTTTGAATTATGTGAGAAGCACATTCATTCATCTTTATAGAGGACTGAAAAGGCAATGTAAAAATTAGTTATACACATAGTAGGTGTTCCCTAATTATCTGTTAATTGTATATATTAACTTTAATCTATAAGAGGAGAAGTATATAATTAATAAGCCTCCAGAGACAATTGTAGGCAAGGGAAACAATTCCTTTCTTAAAGCCTGATTACAAAAGGTAGCTCATACAAACTGCTGCAGAAATGAATATTATCCGC